ATAGGTCATGTTCTCCAGACCTTTAATCATTCTTGTTGCTCTTCTCTGGACCCTCTCCACTTTCTCCACATCCTTCTTGAAATTTGGTGCCCAGAACTGGACACAATACTCCAACTGAGGCCTAACCAGCACAGAGTAGAGCGGAAGAATGACTTCTCGTGTCTTGCTCACAACACACCTGTTAATGCATCCCAGAATCATGTTTGCTTTTTCTGCAACAGCATCACACTGCTGACTCATATTCAGCCTGTGGTCCACTATAACCCCTAGATCCCTTTCTGCCATACTCCTTCCTAGACAGTTGCTTCCCATTCTGTATGTGTGTGAAACTGATTGTTCCTCCCTAAGTGGAACACTTTGCATTTGTCTTTATTAAACTTCATCCTGTTTACCTCAGACCATTTCTCCTATTTGTCCAGATCATTTTGAATTATGACCCTATCCTCCAGATTAGTTGCAACCCCTCCCACCTTGGTATCATCTGCAAATAATAAGCATACTTTCTATGCCGATATCTAAATCGTTGATGAACAGAACCGGTCTCAAAACAGATCCCTGAGGAACCCCACTTGTTGTTATCTCTGAATAGAGGAATACATTTAAAACTATAGTACATGAACTGCATCTCTTACCTAGGCAAGATTCCCTATCAGCTTCAGGCCCTTTATTTCTGAACACAGGTTACTGTACAGCAAATAAAATTGTCCCACAATCACACACAATTTAATTTAGTTTAAGTATGTTTTCATGTATCATTTTGAAAAGCAATTGTTGGGTCTTGTATTAAGTGTTTAAGGCTTTTTTTCCTCCCCTTGTGAATCTGTATTGCCACAAGCACAGGATTTAAAGAATCCTTAATCCATATTCCATTAGTGTGGTATAGCAGACGCCTTACTTTTCGAAAATGTGTTCAATTTAAGAGATAACTAGCATGTTAAGGAAAAAAGGAACAAATTTGAAATGTTAATAATGTATAACAAAGCAAGTATTTGGGGGCATATATTAGCACTTTCATCATAATTAGTTTGTAACCTAAATACATATTTTCAGGATAAATTGCTGACCCTCTTTGACCTCCATGGGAGGCTGAGTAGCTACTTCAGAGTTTAATCTGCAGTGAAAAGGCTAGAGAAGAATAATTTAGCCCTTGAAATAAGAATGAACATCTTTTAATGATGCCCATGGATTCAGGGTTTAACCCTTGCACTGAAAAGCGAGGGCTAGTCTCAAAAGGGCTGGCAATAACTTAGCTCACAAATAAAAAAGAGATTGCAAACAGACTAAATGCAGAGCCTAGAGAAAGATGGATTGTTCATTTTAAAGGCAAAGCAGAAAAAGGTTCTGGTTGGTAAAACAACCGAGGCTTGGACTCTATAACAAAATGGCTTTCCACAGCTGAAAATGTCATAACACGTAATGGTAACAATGCTTGAGAGACCACAGTTGAATTGCAGGAGCTGCAGGTAGGTCAGAGATTGCAAGTAATAATAGCAAGTTTCTAGGTCTCCAAATGACAGACAAAGGGGTTAAATTCAGGGTAAATGACCCTGGTAAAAGGAAAAAATCCAGAGAGGAATTGAGGGCAAATGGACTTTACTGAGACACTTCAAGCTACTAGAATGGATTCTTGCTAGGAAATATTTTTAGATTATTCCATAAAAAACCTTCAGAGTGCAATTCAAAAATGATAATGT